AATATGATTATTCAAATTATTCCATTTGATTGAAATATTTGAATAAATTTAGCTGTAAAATGTTTGTTCAAGACAATAGTGGAAGATCAAGATAAAAGCAATTTTTTATAGTTGTATAATGTATCAATGCCACCGGTTGTAATCACCGCAAGAAAAGCGTAATAACAGGTGGCTCCGCGTTGTGGCAGGTGGATCAGTTCCTTTTTTTTATCTTTTCTGGATATACATTCTCCCATTGTTTTCGAGTGATATACACAGTACCTGAAGTGTATAGAAAATTCCTTATCGGAAACTTAAAATTTGTAATCTTACAAATCACGAGTGTCAACGGAAAGAAAAAGAAATGATGATTCGAAAAAGAAACCTATTGTGATAGATACAACAATTGTATCGCTTTAATTTGCCCAAGTAGAGGTTATATATAAAATATTTTCAGAAATACACGCATGAAAGCTCGTGGTTGTAGTAAAGTAAAGAGCGAAATAATGCCACCGTCGTCACATACGAATTGGACTAAACCTCTTATTAAGAATGGTCAAACGATGCAACTGCAATCGAAACGAACAACTTGTTCAACACAAAATCAGAATTCAAATGGCAGTGGCACAGAACATAGTGGTATTCCACTTGACAGAAGAATCAAAGTTGTTCTGGTAGGTGATGGAGCCGTTGGAAAAACCAGCCTAGTTGTTTCTTATTCTACGAATGGTTTTCCGGGAGAATATGTACCTACTGCTTTTGATAATTATAATGGTTAGTTGAAAATCTAATAGTGGTAAGTGACATTTCAAATAGTGAGACAAGTTTAATTTGAAATAAAGTTTGAAATAAAAATGGTGAGTTTTTCTAATATATATTTTATAAATGAAGAAAAATTCAACGTAAATATTTTATATAATTAAATATGTAAAATATGTATTATACATAATAAATAATTGAAATTCATTTTATTATTATTTTTGCATATTTTTTTATTAAAATAATATTTATCAAATTAATAATGTTATAAAGTCAATCTTTCAATAATTTTAATATCTAATAATTCATTTTGACCTGTAATGTCTAAATATTAAAATTTTTCTAAATGGATTAATGTATATAAACAAATATTATCATTAATTTATATAATAATAAAGTTTATATAAAATAAATTAAATTGAAAATTACTTGCTTTTTGGAATTAATATATATAATATATTAAATATATATAATAATCTTTTCAAATATTTTAATTTCTTTTAGTGGTTGTCAATGTTGATGGTCAACCAGTAAATGTTCAGCTATGTGATACAGCAGGTCAAGATGATTTTGATCCTTTAAGATCATTATGTTATCCAGAAACAGATGTGTTTCTAGTTTGTTTTAGTGTTGTATGTCCTTCTTCTTATCATAATGTAACTTCTCGATGGATAAATGAAGTACGAAAATATTGTCCTAATGCACCAATTATTTTGGTAAAAATATATTTTGTTTTATAATTATAAATCAGCAAAATTATATGTATTCTAATCTTATTTTACAACAAGAACAATGATGACTTTAGGTAGGCACAAAGAGTGATTTACGATCAGATGTACATCTTATGTTACAATTAGCAAGATATGGTCAAACCCCAATTACAAGTACTCAAGGGCATCAATTGGCTCAAAAAGTTGGAGCTGTAAGTTATGTGGAAACATCTGCATTAACTCAACATGATCTTAAAGAAGCATTTGATCAAGCAATAGTTAGTGCTCTTAACACAAGGAGAGGTGGTGCTAGTTTGTTATGTAGACGTAGAAAACCTTTACCATTATGGCGCAGATGGTTATGTTGTTGTGAAAGACCTTCTAGTAGTGCATAAATAATGATTAGACTCTCTAGAATACTCTCTGTGATCAAGTACGACTATTTTGTTATCAGAATTTCTGAATTTATTAGTATTTTAATAATTCAAATATTTTATTTCATTAATATTCATTAAAAAAATATTTATGTATTTTTTATGTTTTTTAAATTACTATACTTAAGTATAGTTTAATAATTTTTTAAATTGAATAATAATTATATATATATATATATATATCTTATATTATTATTATTATTCAATAATTAAATCTTTTATATTTAAAAAATTTTTTTTGATTTTCTTATATAGATATAAATTCTGATAGCTAAGTCGTGAACTATTTGTAAAATTCCTGAAACCAGGTCTGGTATAATTTATTATAACATTAATCATATTTTTATTACTAGAATATAATTGGCTATTTGCCTATTGTGATTTTTTCTTTATTAATAGGATTATTAATTTTAGAACTTAAAAATATATTACATATTATCGCATTATTATCACTAATATTATTATATAATGTAAACTATATTTATAATTGTGCAGTTTTTCTTACTGCAATGTTTCGTAAAGTATGAATTATAATATACTTTTTTCAAATGCTAATTCTTTATGTCCTTATTTCTAATAATAAATTGCAATCAAAATATTATTTGAAAAATATATAACACATAAAAAATTATCATATGATATTAAAAAATTGTGCTTAGTATATTATAAATTAGTATATTTTTCATTAAAAGGACATAAGAATTAAGACAGGACATAAAGAATTAAAAATTTCATCAACATTATTAATATATAAAAATACATACATCACATTGAAGTATAATATTGCATTGTTATTATATGCATATAAATGAATTATTAGAAATTAATTATTTAATAATACATCTTTATATATACTTATATAAACAATTTATCTTTTACAAGCATATTTTTTTTTATATATGACTCAATATAATTATTATTTGAAATTTTTTCATAAATTATTAAGCAATATATTAAAAATGTTAATGTATGAGCGCTGTGATTATGAAATTTAAATTTTGTCAAATTTTATAATTTTTGTATATAAAATATAAAAAGATATAAGACTGTTAAAATGTCTTAAATCTGCTTCTAAATTATTCTAAAATACATTATAAATTAATTGAGTCAAATTTTAATTGAATTTATATTTAGTAAACACAATATTATCTATTTTGCAAAGTTTAAAAACAAAATAGTACTTTTAATATTTTTTAAAAAATAATAAAATTATAAAATATAATAACAATAGAATAACAATAAAAAGAGAAAAAATAAAGACTAATAATTTGAAGATAAAAGCATAATATTTATATTTAAATTAAATTATTAAAAAAATTTTCTTAAAGTTAGGCATTTTAATATATTTGATTTAATTTTATATATTTTATTACTTTGCAGAAAATTAGAAAATATTAAAATACACATTTTCTTCAATTAATTATTGTTAGAAAAATAATGTTATTTTTTATATTATAATATAATTATAAAATTTAATCAAATATTGTAATATATTATATGTTTTTCTTTATTGTAACTTCAACTTTTTTTTAATTTTTGTAATATGTTAAAAAATTGAATATATTTTTGCTCAAATTTTAAATTTTAATTTAGATGAATAAGAACTGATTTTTTTGTTTTTTAATGAAAATAATTTATATATATATTAAAAATTATATGAAATTATAATGTATATTCATGAAACATATATAATTATAGTTTGGCAAATTCCATATAAAATATGTTTAAGATATATGGAATTATTTGTAGTAATTCAATTTTTATGTTACTTCTAATAGAACTAATGTTCCTGGATTTTGATATTAATATTATAAATTTAATATATGTGCTTTAAATGAAAAAAAGATAATGTATGCTTATAATTAATGTCTACATTTAAATATAATATGCATATTACCTTTATATAACTTTTTACTATTAAAAAGTATATACAATATCCATTTTGCTATATTATGAGCAAAATATAAAAGTTATATAATCAAGTATTAGTTTTTTAAAGTATATTGACAAATATATGTCATTATAATTTTTAAAATTAATATTTTTATTATTCATTTTGTTTCTATATCTATATTAAAATGTATTATATTCGCAATATATTTTTTTTAATTGGTTACCATATAATTTAACAAACATACTTTTTGTACTATATTTTTTCATTTATTATAAATGAAAAAATAGAAAAGTACTTAAAATTATTCTACTATTACTAAATGTATATAAAATGATATCATTTTATCATATTATAAAAACAATATTTAAAAGAAATATTATATACATAGATAAATGTATATAAGAAAAAATAAAAAAACAAATAGATAATATTTTAGACTGAAGTGTCTCAATATTGTAATAAATAGTATTAATACTTGCTTGTTCTATATAAAAAGTCAATAATATTTTTGTAAACATTTTTCTATATAAATTTATGCTTTTTACTTATTAAATGTATGTTGATTGTATATTTGTATACCAATAATAAATTATTCATAAAAATCATATGTTTATTATAATATTATTAGAAATATATTATGATATTTAGATATTTCTTAATTTTAACAATAATACGATTTTAAAGTTTATGTAGTATATTCAACTTTGAAAAAAAATATTTTTTTTTTAATTGATAAATAATATCTTTTGTACATTAATAGATTTTATTTAGATATACATGAGAAAAAAAATATATATACATATATATATAGACACATATATAGACATATCTTAATCTCGACGAGAAAATAGTTTTATCATCTGATTTTAGATATCAGATTTCTAGAATAAGTTATATATTATTATTTTATATTTTTTAAAATTAATTTTAAACTTAAAAATTTTTTATCAAATTGATTTTATTCATATTTAATTATATATAAGTATAATTATATTATAATTCATAAACTTAATTACGTAAAAATAAAAATCTATTCTATTCAAAACATCTATTTTTTCTTTTAAATATTTTTTAAACTCATAAATGGGATTTCAAAATTTTAATATTATCATCAAAAATATTTATAAAGACAAAATTTTAAAAATTAATAAAATTATACAAGAAAAAATTATGTAAACAATACAAAAAGTCACTTCATTGATTAATAATTAATCAGTAAAAATAAATGACATTTGCTTTGATAATCAAGTAACCTAGATATACAATATATGTAAAACAAGAATAAAACAAGTTACTAGATCTTTATACAAAACAAGTTTTGTAAAATTTATGAAATTCTGCAATTACATAAAACATGAAGTCAGATATTACTGATCCATGGAGCGGAACAGATGTTCCACAAATCAGTAATAATAAGTGTGAAAACTTTTTCGAAGATTCTTTTGTAGTTAATCAGTCACAATATATCAAGCTGGCTGATTCAGAAGAATATTTGGAAAAACTTTGTAAGTTTTAATAAAAGTTTTATTATATTTTATTATTTCTCTTTTTGCATTATATGCAGTAACATATTAATGTTATATTAATTGATAATTTCACAAAAACGTTTTTTTTTATTTTTATATTCATTTTATTTTATTTTAAATATGTTATTTTATAGTAAAATAACAAAATAGATATAGAGTAAAATATTTCTATGCAAATTTTTAGAAATTATAAAATATAATTATATTAGATTCCAGACTTAAAATTCTTGAAAAAGGTACATCAAAAAAAGATCTTATAACATCTTTATATGTGGCAAAAGAAGATTCTATTGCACGTTTAATAACTTCTGGATGTAAGCTTGAAACAGAAGAAGACACTGAACTTGTTTCAAATCCTTTAATAAGACATATAGCACCTCATTTACAGGTACTATGTAAATATAAATAATTCATATTTATTGTTAAATTAATTAAAATTAATTTATGATAATTATTATATTATTATATTTACTTATATTTGAAATATATAATATGCATATTTTATTTTTTAGGCATTAACTGCTAGTGAATTAGTTCATCTTTTAAAAGCAGATATTCTTCAAATTATTAATGAATCTGAACAACAAAAAGAAATTGACTAAAAAATAAATAAATTATAAATTATCTATTTAAAGAATAAAATAATAATTAAAAATAAAAAAAAAATATGTCAATCAAAATATTATCTGGAAAAGTATTTTTAGTAATAACTGGTGCAAGTCGTGGAATTGGAAAACAACTTGCAATTTCATTTGGTTCAGTTTTAGAAGAAGGTTCACATATTCTTCTATTAGCAACAAATCTGAATGCTTTAAAAGAAACAGCAAAAAATATTCCATCAAGTATATTTGTTGATACTGTTAGTATTGATTTAGCTAAAGCAACAAAAGATAAATTGCATGGTAGGTATATTTTATACATATATTTTATAGATAAGTATAGAATAAAATAGAATATATATACAATAATAAAATAGAATATATATACAAATATATGATTTTAGATATTATTATACAATCTTTGAAAAATGAGATTTTGGATCAGTTTGATCGTATAGTTGTAATACACAATGTTGGTTCAATAGGAAATATTAATCAATATACAAATGATTTAACAGAATTAAATGTTTGGCATGATTATTATGATTTAAATGTGTTTGTTCCTGCTATATTAAATGGAGTTATTATGAAAATATTTAATGAAAATACAAATACTAAAAAGCTGGTTATAAACATTACATCATTGCTTGGTATAAAACCAGAAAAATCAATGGCCTATTATTGTAGTGGAAAAGCAGCCCGAGAAATGTTTTTTAAAGTAATATTTAATTTTATAATTTTACATTAATGTAAATAATTTAAATAATTTTTATTATATTTATTATTTATTATTTACATTATACAGGTATTTGCATTAGAAAATCCACAAGTGAACGTATTAAATTATTCACCAGGACCAGTTGAAACTGATATGTACTATGAAGTTTGCACCAAAATAGCTGATGAAAATGTTAAAACACGATTTAATGATTTGATAACAAAAAAAACAATTCTAACTTGTGAAAAAACAGTTAATCGTCTTTTAACAATTCTTGAAGAACAAAAATATAAATCTGGTGATCATGTTGATTATTATGATGAATTATAAATTATATAGATTTATCAATAGAAATAATTTACTTTTTATTATCTTTTATGAATTTCATAAAGAAATAAATTTCTAATAAAATTTAAATAGAATTAATTAAAATTGATTATATTTTGTTGACCATTATTATTATATTATAAAAATAAAACAATATAAAATATAAGTTCTTAAATATTTACATTAAATTCTTTCATTATAATATAATACAATATAATACATATGTTCATTTTAATTTTTTTTTAGAATAAATATTTATCAAAGTTTATGATGATTCATCATTTTGTATCAATGCTGTATATCTTGCAGAATTAATTTTTGCATTTTGAATTCGTATATTTATTAAAATAAATATTACAATAATATAAATTCCTCCAGACACTAACCAAACTGGTAATGGATATATAGGTGGCATAAAATGTAAATAAATCATATTATATAAAGAAGCTGCCACGAATGGAGTTAATGTTTCAATAGATATTGTCATAGAAAATATTTTACCTAAATATTTTTAAAAATATTATTTAATTTCATATATAAAAAAAAATTTTATTATTTTCTTTATCTAACAATATTTACCAGTATCTTCTGATGGTACTGATTTGGATAATATAGCACGAATCATAGGATTAGCAATACCACTAAACATTCCTACTACTGCAGATATATACATATGCCAAGGTTTCAGTGTAAAGCTTTGTACTAAACTACTACTCAAAGAAGACAATAACGAAAATATAGCTACAGTTTCTTCAGAAAATCCTATAAAAATATTATTTTTTTAATTAAATTTTTTTTTTATTAAATTTTTAAAAATTCTTAATATATAAAATTTAATTTATACCTCCATATGTTACCAACATTTTTACACCAAATGTTATTCCAAGAATTGTAAGTATTATATTTGTAGCCAAATAAATGGAATATTTATTTACATCCCAACCAAATCTAGCACTTACAAATAAAAAACCAATAGTCATTTCTCCTTGCATAGCAATGACTATTAAAATAATAGAAATTATACAACACCAAACTATATATCGATTGAAACCATCTCGTTTTTTGGTACATGTACTTATAAGTTTTCTAACCAAATGAATATTAAATAAGCTCTTTATAGTTATCTACAAATATTAAAAATATTATATTATAATAATAATATATTTATTGTAAAATACATACTGAATCTGTGATGTGTGTTGTTTCAGGAACTAAGAAGCAAATATGCAATCCTGCTAAAATGCAACATATAGTAGCAATAACAAATACAAGTGTATATCCATATATTTTAAAAATAATGGGTCCAGCTAATATACCAATTAAAATACCAACAGATATTAAAGCTTCCATCCAAGCTAATTGCCATCCTCTTTCTTGTTCATTTGATATATCAGAAAGATAACAAACAGTACCTAATAAAATTATACAAAATCCTCCACAACAAGCATATGGAATATATGCAATTAACAAAAACCATGGATTGATATCCCAAATAGTCATAGAAGAAAGAAGGAAATATGTTAAAGAAATACCTGTGACAAAAAAATCACAGATTGAATAAATTTAATTTAATTTTTTAAAACATACAATACCAACCAATATAGCCAGATAATATAATAGATTTTCTTCCATATATGTCACTCCATGGTCCCAAAAACAAAGATAATAAAGCAGGAATAATACTTTCAACAATTGACTTTGTTATTAAAATTAAACTTGCTTTAGGTTGAACTTGTGCATCTATTTTTAATGCTTCTGCAGAACTACTATTTTCATGTAACAGCAAACATTCTGTTTTATTTATATTTAATATTATACTACAAGTACGATATATTATTAAATCTGTTAAAATATTACCTAAAATTAAAAACATATAATACTCACTTTGTAATAAATTGACTCATTCAAATATGTTAATAAATCAATAAATTATATCATAAAAAATTTATTTTATCAATAAAATAAAAAATTACATATACTTATGTATAGTGAGAGTAATGATTTGATACTTTTTTTTTTTAATAAAAAAAAAAAGAATATATTGTTACATATTATTCAAATATCTTTCATATATCATAATATAATCTAATATTGTTATTTTGTTTTATTATTTTATTATTATTTCATAGTCTAAAATTCAAATTGTAATAAGTATTATATAACAATCATATATATTATAATTAAATTAAATTATATATACATTAAATATATTATGATATTTATATAAATATATTACTTGATATTGCTTGAGCAATTATTAGCATCATCATAGGTGGTTGTACCAATGCGTAACGTTTCCATTCTGTAATTGTTCTTTCCATTTTATATATATACGTTTTGAAAGTCTAGTTGTAAATTAAACTATATAAAATATTTTATTTATATAAAAATTTAATTATGTGTAAATCATATAAGTTTAAATTATGTAAAAATATTAATTATATTTGATAGTATAATATTAAATTATTAAAATATAATAAAATTCACTAGATCACGATTAACGATATCTTAACATTATTTTTTAACTCTGAGTGAATCATTTTGATACGCTACGTCATCCATTATAATTAATAGATAAATTTGTCTCATTATTATTTCGATATATTAAAACCTATAATTTATTTGAATAAATATTGTATTTTAAATATTTTATATATATATTCATAGTAAAAAAATAAGTTTAATACATATATATATATTAATGATAGATATTTATATGTATTTTCTATTTATGATATAGTGAGATTATAAAAATTATTTTACAAAAAATCATAAATATTTTGATTATAAAATATGAATAATATCAATAATCTCATCATATTATATAGTATTCATATAATAATTACAATTTAGAGAGACTACACTTTATAGATATAAATCTATTAATATATTTTTGACAGTTGATCAGCTGATTATCAGCAGTTTATAGATTGTTGCTAGACGATGTTGAATATACATATCTAATTATTTTAATATAAATTATAATATAATAATATAATAATTATACATTATTTTTAAAAATATTCTTAAATAATATTATTTATGTATTATTAATAGAATTTATTAATTCTTCTGTATTTAAAATGAAAAATTTTGAAAATAAATATTAATTTGAGATATATAAAAAAACATAATAAAGATTTTATTAAAAATATATAAAAAAACAACAAATTAATAATAAATATTATTTATTACATTTTTGGAAAATAAAAAATTATTATTTTAATTTTATGTTATAATATTTATTTTAATGTTATAGTTATTTTAATGTTATAATATTATAAAGAAAATTTCTATTACTTTCTTGTGAAATTTTTAAAAAATATTTATAAAAAATTTATTATATATTATATATACTTTTGTAATATTATTTTACTAATATATTTATTAATATTATTTCATAATATGTGTGCTGATAATAATGAAAATAGTAGACCAATAACACCATCAGAGGAAGACTGTTGCCATAATGCATGTGATCCTTGCATTTTTGATGTACATAAAAAATTACTCGAAGAATATGAAAGAAAAAAAAAACAGAATATAAAAATACAGAATAAACAAAACATACTTCATTTGTATAAATATAAAAATTTTGTAGTTTTTAATATAGAAGAAAGATCTGAATGTTATATTTTAATTGTTTTGAAATATTATGGTATATAAAGCAAATGAATATTTAAATGAATTTTATGAAAATTATATATTAATTTTAATTTTAATTTGTGATGCTGTTAATAATTATTAATTTTTTAGAAAATAACTACAAAAATAAAAAAATATTAATTGATCCTGGACAACATGTTATGTTACATTTACATGACATTACCAAACCATTTACACCAATTTTTTTCACAGATGACTGTATTGAATTTCTAATTAGACTTTATCCAAATGGAAAATTTAGTCAATATTTAAAGAACATAAAAATAGGTGATATAATTCATGTTAGAGGACCATATGGAAATTTTAAATATGAAAGTAATAGGTATATAAATTAATATGTATTTGTTTTATTACTTCTTTGTTTATAAATTAATAATAATACAATATATATTATAATTTAATAAAATATAAATTTAATAATAAAAAATATAAAATTATTTTAAAAATATTAAATACTTTTCAGTTTTCAGACAATTATTATGTTCTCTATGGGATCTGGAATAACTGCAGTTTATCACATAGCAAAATCAATTGTAGAAAATGAATTAGAAGAGACAAAAATTCATCTTATTGGAGGATTTAAAAATATATTGCAGATTCCTCTAAAAAAAGAATTACAAATCTTATCAGATTATTGGAATTTCAAATGTACTTTGCACATATCACAAATGCAAAGTAATTCAGATATTTTTATATTAATAAGTTTTTTTTAAATTTTTTTCTTTTCAAAATATTTTTTTACATTCTATATTTTAGATGTTTGTAATATCCATGGTATAAATATAAAATCTGGAAGATTGGATAAAAAATCAATTTTTGAAGTACTTAAAAATAAAATAGCTAATACTACATTAATTTTAATATGTGGCAGTAGTCAATTTAATAATAATGTTGAGCAGTGGATAAAATGCATGAATTATAGATATGTACATGTGTTTAAATAATAAATTAATATATTCCTATAATTTATACTTATATTATACCATTTAATATAGCACGATATGCTTTCTTGACAATTAGGACATGAACCATGAATATGATCAAATATAACATGATTCCCAACAATTGCTTGTAACCACTAAAAATAAAATAAATATAAATATAAATATTTGTAAATATAAATAGTTTAATAAATATTAAATAAAGATTTATATTTTAATTTAAAAGTTATGTAATATTCATACTTGTAATAGACAAGATGTATGGAAATGTCTTTTACATTTTTCATTACTACAAATTTTATCAGGTAGAGTTTCATTATCTAATTGTAGAGAAAAACAAATACAACATTCTTCATCAGCAACAATTGCATTATTATCTTCTGTAGATTCTTTATTTATTTCCTTTTTGAGAAATGTATCTATATCTAATAACATCTTTAAATTATTTAAAATATCATGATTTGGATTCCAATTCTGAAAAAATATTATAATGTTTAATATTGCTTTTATTATATATATTAATGTGTTTAAATATTAATTATAAATATTAATTAAATATTAATTAATGTGTTATTTTATAATATAAATAGAAATAATAATAATTATATGTCCCACACATGTAACTTCTTAGAAATCAATTCTTTTTTTGATTTAACTTCTGAATCACTACCCATAAATGTAATTTCTGGTAAATCCATAGGATTCAGAGGATCTATTTTAATGTACATTGATAAAGATGGTGTTAAATAAATTCGTCGATAAAGATGATATGGTTTTGGCTGTAATGGATCTATTATCCAACAATTCCTATTTGTTTAAAAGTAATATAATATATACATATATATATATTGTGCTAAGTATTGAAAAAAAAATAAAAAATAAATATTCATAATTATCTATATGTTTACTCATCAATTTGTTTTAAATTTGACCATGCTTTTTCAAGTATTTCTACTTGAAGTTTAAGTTTATTCCTTGCTATAACTAATGTTGATATATTTTTTCCAAAAGGTCCCAAGGCAGGTATTTCAGGTAAATCTGAATCAACAACTGTCCATGAACATGTCCTATGATTTATTCTTTGCAATTTTATAGCAATATTATTCAAAGATAATTTGATTGTACTCAAACTATTATTAGATAATATCTGAATTCCCTATAATAATAACATTTATAATTATTATAATTCAAATTGTCTAATAGTACTAATTGTCTAAAGTACTAATAATTAATAATTTTAAACAATATCAACTTTTCTTTAAACAATGAATGAAAACAATATCAATCTTTTTTATATTAATAATTAAAATTAAATTAAAATTATATATTTTTTTCACATACAGATGATGTATCAAGTACATCTTTTAATTCTTTTAACATTTCCATTGTTTGATTATCTATGGCTTCATATCTATTATCTTCAATAATATATCTGTTGTTAATGAAATTACTCTACAAAAAAATAATAATAATATTATTATATATATATATTAATATATATTATATTGAAAAAAAAGACAAATATATAAAATATATTATAATTAAAAAAAAGACAAATATATAAAAAATTATTACTCACAATTAATAATTGTAATTGTTTTAAAAAAGTTGATATTTTATTTACATTATGCATTAAATTTTTCACTTTTTCACTAAATTCTTTATTGCGTATGAATGCAATTTCTTTACCAAAATTAATTTCAGCATCACATAATGACGGATAATTATGTACAATTAATTTTAATTTAATTCGCATATTTCGTCCTGAATTATAAGAAACTTTTAAAAATCCTTTCCATGTTACTGGTTTTTCAGAAATTAATATCATTTCTGGATGCCATTGAATGATAGATTTGTAATCGTTAATCATAATAAATTAATTATTTTTTATTATATAGTCCTATGTATATAATATGTATGTATATATATATATATATATTATTTATGAAATATAACATTAAGAAATTATAATATTGAAGATAAATACTTAATAAACATAAAATTTGAAATCATTTACAAATCTACAAATCTCTTTATTCTTTACTTTTATGCAAGTTTATCATAAACTATAAATAGATTTAATATTCAATGCATTTTTATATGATAATAATTACAATTTTCTTATCATATTCATATCATTTCCAATATTATCGGCTTAGCATTATTAGTTTTTTTAGTTTATTTAGTTTTTTTTAATAAAGATAAAGAACAGAATAGATACATTTAATATTTAATATTCAATATTTTTGAATTGAGTCAACTTAAAATAAGATTTCAATATTACAATTTAATGTTAGTTTAGTTGAAATTAAAATTAAATTCAATAAAATTACAAATATAATAATAATAATGAATTATTAAATATAGAATATTTTATAAATATATAAAATAATTTTATATTTATTATATGCTTTAGATAAAAAAATAGATTATAAAGAGACCAAATATTGAAAAAAAGAACAAAAATATATAAAAATTAGAATGCCGCAAATAAAACTTAAATGAATTAAGAAAGCAAATACAAGGAAAGGACAGAAATAGAATTAACTATTAACGCCATCTTTTGAAATCTTTTTAAAAGTAGATAAATATTTAAATAGAAAATCATTATCTATATATGTTTCATTTATAGTATTCTTAAGATGATTTCAAACTGATTTCAAAATTTATGTAATCAAGAGTTCTGATATATTTATCTTCATTACCTAATTTATTAAATAAAAACCAAAGTTGATAGATTAATAATAGCATATATTTAAAATATATAAATAAAAAAAACACAATAAATGATAATATATATTGTTATTATTAATATTTTAATAGTACAAAGTTTTTGAACAAAATTTTTTGTTAAATTGTTTTAGAATATTAAATTAAAAATAAATTTGTATTTTTTTTTCATTTACTTGTACATAATATAATTTTATTTAATTTAAAAAAAAATGTATTTTATATCTTTTTTTATATTAACTCATTGATTTATCATGATGAAATTAATTATTTTTTTTGTTTATTTATATTCTATGTAGTAAATTATACTTCCTCTCTTTAAAAATGGTAAGCCAATGAGTTAATAAAGCTATACGAATAAAACTTATAAATGGATCAATCAATGCAAAATTTCCAAACCTAATATTAAAGTGTAAGAATCTCAGACGCTCTAGACTCTAATAAACGTTCCATTGAACTAACATCCTTACACCATCCATCGAGTCGTTGAACCATTCCAGCTATTTGCGTACGATCTAATACGCGAGGTTGTACCCATGTCATATTTACTGTCCCTGCTACTTGATCAATAGCACCACGAACTAAACCTTGAGCTAAAGCTTTCATTACCAATAATTCTACTTCACCCAATGGTAAACGAGTTTCTTGAGAAATTTCCGCAAATGTCAATTGTCTATAATAAAAAAATAATCTATTTAATAAATTAATTTATTAAATTAGTTTATTTTGTATGATATTTTAATATTTTTATAATAAAACAATATAAGAACCTGTTATTAGCTTGCCGTTTGAAAGTCATTTCCATGAGACATAGAAGAGATATTTTTTGCCTTAATTTTAATTCTTGTGCAGCTAAATCAGCAACTTTGCTCCATTGTGGCTTTAATTTTTCAAGAGCAACAATATCACCAGCATTGAAAGCTTGTAATAAATCAACTAACCAAGAGTTTGGAGTACCTTTCAAGGATTGTAAAACTGGATGAGCTAATAATTCCCCAAGATTATAGACTCCTTCACCTAAAAGTGCAGCTAATCCAAGGAAAAATGCATGTTGTTCTTGTTCTTGTCTATTTAAACTATTTAAATCAATACAACCCAAATATCTAAAATGCAAAATCTAATTGAAATTTTTCATTGTTTAAAACTTATAAGTATAATATTACCTTAAAGCAGTACGATAATATTCAGCATGTTTTCCTTGAAGACGATAAAGACGACTGGCTAATAAATAAAATCTACCATGGACTGTTGTAACACCATCAGCATTATCTAACATAACTTCTACTTCTTCTATAATTTGTTTTGCTTGTTCTTGATTATTTAACTTTTCAAGCAAAATCTGTCCAGTAAGAACTTTACATAAAGCAACAGCTTCATTATTGCTTTTAACTTTAGATTCTGTTTTTTCCAAGAATTTAATTGCTTCTTGTTTATCTTGAAATTGTTGTATTACATATGCTAATATTTCTACCAATGATAAAGGATTTATCCTAAATATAAAAAATATGTATTTTTGAATAACTATAATAATAAAATAATACTCTAATTATTATAATCATTATATGAATCAAATAAGTGAGGTTATAAATTAACATTTCAAAGAAATAAATATATTATGCTTACTTGTTCTCAAAAGTTGATAAAAAGTTTACATATAACTCTACTAATTTATCACCTTTCTGAAGTACTGGATTTTTTACGAATGTTTCTAATTTAAGTGTCAATTGATGCCAAAGCCTGCAAGTCACCGGACAATGAAACTTGAATACTTTAAAATTTTTTCCTATTGAAATATATATGTAATATAAAATATTTTATAAAAAATACCTTTTATTATATAATTCTTCAAGTTGCGCCCATTCTGCAGCCAATTCTTTGTCTGCAACATTTTGATTTTGACTTAAATATGTATTAACATCCTTTGGTGCCACGGATACCGCCATCTTTAATAACAATGACTAAAGTGAATCAGCTTGTAATGTAATTTTTCAAGATTTATTCTAGAAAAAAATAATTTAATATTTATTATTATAAATATTAAATATTAAATTTACTTTTATGATATTTAAAAATATATATTGAAAAAAAAAATATTTTTAACTAATTATAATTAACATTTATTTAAAATAAATTCAAAAAATATAAATAATAATAAATTTATTACTTTTAAAAAATATAAAATGTTGAAGATAAAATATTTATTAAAAATTTAAATTATGTAAATAGTTTTACAGGAAAAACATATACAATTTCTATTTTAATTATATCTTTAAATTTTTATTAAAATAATTAAATGTAATTGTTATGTATAATTATTTTTGATCGTATAATAATATCATTTATGAATAAATAATTCATTTGTTGATTTAATATTATTTTAAAGTAATAAAATTAAATTATGTTCCAAAAATAATATAGTAATATAGTACAACTTTTAAATTCATAATCTTTTGGAATAAAATATTGAAAATAAAAAAGAGATTAAAAAATTAATAAAACACAATATAAAAAATATAGATATTAGTAATAATAAAAATAATTAGTATTAAAATATTTTATTTATTTATTAAATTAATAATCTTATTTTATTTATTAAATCATGATACAATATATATTTGTTTTATAATATATAATAGATTTTGATTTTTTATTCGCTAAATAATATTCGATGTAGAATTTGAAGATTTTATTCATAGAAAAATATGAATTAATATGAAAAATAATATAATGTTAACATAATTAAGTAACTATATCATAGTTGTAAATATGCAACATTCATATATTCATGCAATTATATTTGCATAACTAATTTTCTTTAAAAAATTATTTATGAAAGTATTTATAATTCATATTTAAATAATTTTTTTCACAAATACATATTTTTATTTTTATAGATTATAGATCTATCAGAAATAACCAATCAAATTTGCATTCTTTTCGAATGTTTTGGGCTCTAACAGTTATATCGTTTAAGCAAGTTTAATCATTTTGTGACTGTCAATATCAATATTATTTCTATTATATCTAAAAAATATGTACTTGCATACTAGAATATCAAATTTTATATTTGATTTTCGTAAATGAAAAAATTAATTTTCTAAATTAATACTTTTTTAGTACAAATATTAGTTAGAATTGAATATATTTATGTATATATTTACGTATTTTATAAAAATTTTGGTTAATATAATTATATATCAATATTTAAGATGTTAATTATGCAGAAGATTTTAATGGTGATTACTTTATTATTATTTAATTTTCACGAAGTTATTCCTTTGCAATCTCAATCATTTTCTTCTATTGTTATTATGGCAAATTATACAGTATATCAATTTGCCATAAATATTAATGTTGAATATGTATTTTTATATCCTATTAATAATGTAAGTATAAACATTTTTATACAAATTATAATTTTTATATAATATAACATATATATAACATAATTATAAGTTTTATTTTTAGGTAACTTCAATGGAAACTGTAAGAATAGAAGTTGAAAGCAATGCTACAAGTAATCTACCTCTTATAGTAGTTGTTCGTCAAAAAAAAGAATTCTTATCATGGCAAATCCCTCTTATAGTGAAGAGTATGTATTTTAATAATTCAGAATATAATAAAACAAGTAGAACTCTATGTTCAACCAATTATAATCTCAATGGATTAAAACAGGAAAAAGAATTTATGATTATTAGTATATCCACTACTAATCACCAAAATATTTCATTTATACTTAATGTGACAAAAGAACATAATTTTTATTTAAGGTATATATTTTAATAAATATAGATAAGCAATAGAAATTTATTGTTATATCTTGGAATTGAATTATAAAATAAAATAAAGGAAATTAATAATAATTATTTTCATTTTCTTCAGTACTGGAGAAAACAAAACTGTAGAAATTTCACCATCTCAACCTATTTATTATGGTTATACTTTCTCAGGACAAGTAGAAAATTCTTCTGTAATTGTTCATGTCAAGTCTGATAGTGATATTTGTATGACTGTTTCAATACAAAATATATCAGTAAGTCTAAATTTTATATCTAATTGTCATATTCATACATGTTATATATATATTTATATATAATATATTTTATATATAATGTCATATTTTATGATCTTTTTTTAGTGTCCTGTGTTTGATTTAGAGAGGAATATTGAATTTTCTGGATATTGGCAAACTATAATTCGACAGGGTGGTATAACTGTGCCAGTAAATATTTTTTATATTAAAATGTATCTTTTAATATATTTTATATATTACATAGAGCTAGTTATTTTAATTAAATTTAATTAAAGTTTAATTATTATTTTTTAGAAAGAAGAATTTCCATTAGGCTTCTTTGTGGTACTTGTAGTAAAAAGTGATGATACTGATTGTTATGGAACTCCTACTATGATTCCTTCACGGAATAAACAAGTGATATTAACAATAAATGCTAGTATTACCAAAAGAGATTATATTATTGCTTCAGGAATAGTTGTATGTGTTATTTTTAGTTTTTGTATTACCTATGTTGTGAGCACTGTGATATCAAAAATTAAAAGAGATAGACAAATGAAAGAAGAGATATTAAATCAAGAATCAGAACATATTAATGAACCTATACCAAGTCCTTCAACAATAGAAGAGGTAAAACAAAAACTTATTTTTTTTTTTTAAATACTATTTTTTAATCAATTGTATTAATTATATTACAGTCAGGACCAGTATCTATAGATGATGATTCTTCACTGGATGAGGATGATATTGATATGATGGAAGATGCTCTTTCTGATAAGGAAATAATACGAACAAAACTTGTACTTTCTGTTTGTGATTTGGCTCGTAAAGATCCAAAAATTCTTAGGCATAAATCTAGATTATATTTATATTATTTGATAACGGTCGCTATTTTTTATACTTTACCTGCAGTACAGCTGTTAATTACATATCAGCATGTACTTCATGTTACTGGCAATCAAGATATGTGTTATTATAATTTTTTATGTGCTCATCCATTTCAAGCATTATCAGATTTTAATCATGTATTTTCAAATATTGGATATATTATGTTAGGTTTTCTATTTATATTTTTAACATCTTTCCGAGAACATAATGAATTTGATAAAGAAAAAAATAAATGTTATGGCATACCACAACATTATGGATTATTTTATGCAATGGGTACTGCACTTATTATGGAAGGAATACTTTCAGGAAGTTATCATGTATGTCCAAATCGAAGTAATTTTCAATTTGGTAAGATAATAATTATTTTATATTAAAATATTGTGATTTTTTTTGTATTATTAATGACAAAGATTAATCATTTAGATTCAAGTTTTATGTACATCATAACAGTATTATGCATGATTAAAATTTATCAAACTCGTCATCCTGATATAAATGCTCGGGCATCAGTTACATTTGCAATGTTGGCATTCATTATTTTCATAAACTTGATGGGAGTTTTGAATGGCTCAATATATTTTTGGATTTTATTTACAATCACACATCTATTAACTTGTCTTTTTATGACCATTCAAATTTATTATATGGGACGATGGAAATTTAGAGCTTTGTTAACAAGAGTACTACAGGTAATTTTATATTTAATGAATCTAATATTTTTAATTTTGACCTGATTATTTGTTAGGCACAATTTATCACTAATTTTATAATTTTTTAGAACTGTAAACATGACGCCCGTTCTGGAATTAGATATTTATTTCGACCTTTGTATATAGGACGCTTTTTTATGCTTGTTATAGCAAATTTATGGAACATTGCTCTCGCAGTAATTGGAAATATATATCAAGAAAAAAATTTTGCCACGTTTCTATTAGCCATATTAATGTCTAATTTAATTTTATATACTACTTTTTATATTATTATGAAGGTATATATATACATATATATATATATATATATATATATACGAATAATTATATTTATATTTATTATTCTTATATTACGAATTAATATATTTTTAACATTTCAGATTTGTCATAAAGAACGAATTCTACTTCAACCATGTATTTATATTGTTTTATCAATTATATTTTGGGCCGCTGCTTTATATTTTTTTATAAACAAAACCATTTCATGGGAACTTACTCCAGCTCAATCACGTCATTATAATAAACCCTGCGAATTCTTACACTTTTTTGATAGTCATGACATTTGGCATTTTTTATCTGCTTTAGCAATGTTTTTTTCATTTATGGTACTGCTTACTCTAGATGATGATTTAATAGATGTACATCGAAGTCAGATACCAGTCTTTTAAGGACAATGACGATAATAAACGAAGAGAATATTGAGAATTTTTTTTATGTCTCTAACGATATGACTGCATGTAATATACATTTGAACTTGATATCAATGAATTAAAAATAGTATAAAATATATGTGTATAAAGATCATTTAGCAACTATTTTATATTAAATGCCTTATTTTCGTTAAATATTCAAGTTCATAAAATTTTTTATTATCTATCCCTTTATTTATATTAAATTATTCCTAGAGAGTAAAGAATTTTTGATATTTTTTATCACGATTGAAAAAATAGTACTTAATACTTTAAAATTACTTATCGAGTTTTTTTTATCGACAAACATGAAAAATATCGATGTACACATTAGTCGTTCGATAAAAATAAACGTAATGAACAAACTTTTTCCTAAAAAGAAATATATATATAATAATTATATATATTTTTATATAACATATAAAAATATATATATATATATATACACATATATATATACATAAAATATATATATGTATATATGAAATATAATTTCTATATTCATGAATATACTTATTATAAACAAAGGGCACATTTTGCCATGGTTTAGGAGATGGCAGTGATACTGTCTGATACACGATAGCATCACTATTGAACTTTAATAAGACACAAGTTCTTTTACTTTCTATCATCACGTAACGCTATCGATAGAAACAATTATTAACTTTCCAAAAATTATACTACTCCCGTACAATTTGCTATTAACAAGAATAACGAGTGTCTGTACAATTAATTCTAATACATACTACATACAGCAGGTACGCAAATAGACAAGAGTTTCTTTTTAATTCAAAGAAACATTAGGATGAACCACTTGAATCATTATGATGCTCCTGTGCAGTCATTTCTATTTGTGACAAAGTTCTTTGCAATTCCGTGCGTTCTGCTGGATGTAGTCTGTGCGCAATTTCTAAAATTGCATTTAATCTCACTTCTGGACAAGCTTCTAGAGCTTCTTTGATTCGAGAAACAATTGCATCTTGTTTGACACAAGTGATATTACGCGAAACAACACTATTTTCATCTTGTCGTTGATTTTCCAACCAATTTGTCGCTACTTCATCTTGATCCCATAAATATGATTCCGTGGCACCTTTATCCTCTATGAACCATCTACGCAACATCGCACCTACTTGTCTAAAATCAACATCTAAATTTCGTTGCGTTGAAAGAACTTCCTCTTTTATTTCATCCTCCAGAAGTCTTCTTCTAAGTCGCCAGTAAAGTAATCTTCGCGCTTTTCGCCATGGAATAATATCATGAATAACATTTTTCTCATACATTCTTTCTGGTGTATCGTGAAGATCCGCGAAATGAATTGCAACTTGATGATACATAGGTTCTAAAGTTTGTTCTCTCTTACGTATTTGACTTTCGATTTCTTTTCGTTCTTCAGGTGAATTTACATTGGATAAGTTTTCCTAAAATGAAATAATAAATAAAATAATAATTTTATAATAAATATCATTAATAAAATATGATTTTAGTATTATATATTATATATATCATTTATAAATAATAATATTTAAAAATAATATTTATAGATATTTATAATCATATTTATAATTACTTTAAGTTTCTGTATTATTGTATCAATCCTATGCATAGTTTTAATTAAATCTTTATTTCTAAATTTTATTTCTACTATTCCACTAGGTTCTAAAACTCCAGCACGACTTGTATTGTCAGCAAACATTTCCATGTAACGAGGATTTATTGTTGGATCAACGACTGCCCAAGCACCACCTCTTAATTCACCATTTGGTGGAATATATATAAATATTGGTTTAGTATATTTTCTTAATCCATCCACAATGTAAGCACCAAATTTGATAATTTGTTCATACATATCTATAAAAAATATATTGTTAATAATTTCATTAAAAAATAATTATTAAGAATTATTAAGAATTATTAAGAATTAATGAAAACCTTTCATTCCACCAGAGAATCCTCTCCAATTAGCGAAGATAAAAAGTGGAAGTTCTTCTTTTCCAAAATCTTGAATAGCTTGAGCAGTTTTATATGCACTATCAGGGAACCATACTTGTCCTGCTTGAGAGATTGTTTTAGCTTCTGAATCGAGATTAGCAGGATCAGCAGGTAAATGCAATTCAACAGTTCTTGTTTCTACTGCAATAACACCACAAGGGATTCCTCCTAATCTAGCTCGTCCAGTTACCACAGTTTGAGCCCAAGGTCTCATTATTTCCTACAAATATTATTATATTATTAATACTTTATTAATAGAAAATATTACGACTATTTTATCAAATAATTAATATAAAATAAAATATACCTGCCAAGAGCCACGATCAAAGAATCCACTCTCCCAATAATTTGTTCCATTTTGTATTCTACCTTCAAGCATTAATCTTGGATCATAGGCTGTCTTTGTAGGAACATAAGTAATCTCTCTATCAATTGGATCAGGAAGAAGTGATGATAATATAGGAAGAGGCGCTCCTTTATATTTCGGACAATAACTTAACCATCTTAAAGCAGTGGCAATACCCTCTATATCTCTTACATCAGTTGCATGTGATATTCCATTATTATGCATGATTTGTATACCACCTAATTGATTGTTACTAGCATATACTTCACGACCTAATACAACATTCAATGCTTTATATCCAGTTAAAATGATGTGAGAATTTTCTATTTGAATCACTCTTTGTCCAAGACGTAATAAATAAGAACCGATACCAATAGCACGACAAGAAACAATAGAAATTGTAACTATTTCATCATAAGCTTTTGATGTTTCTCCAGCAATCATACCAGCATATTTCAAATTTTCTACACCAAGACCGTCCTCTTTACCGATAATATCAGTAATTTTGTAACGAGATTCTCCCTTATCTTCAATCAATGAAGTTTTTACTGAATTAAATGGTGCTAAGCGTGCGTAATCATCTGGAGTTAGATATATATATTTGAATCCTTTTTCTGGTTCATCGTCATCCTCCCAAGCGATTCTGAATAATCCTTTTACTTCTTCTGCTAAACCAATACGAGCTCCAGAATTTGCGGAAAAATATATTCGAGGGATTCCAAGTTGTCTAGCTCTTTCAGATGCTTTGAAAAATACTAAATCTTCCTTTGGGCCAAAGGAACCAATTAAATGTGTTAAATCGTTCGCAATTAATATAATGTCTCTACCAGTTATAGGATATTCTGGTGTATAAAGTCTTAATCTCCAAGCGACCATACCGATATTATTTTCACCAGGAAGACGTTTTTGTTCTACTAAATTTTCACCCTCTAATACTAATTCCACGCAATCCATTACAGTATTCGGAATCGTTATATCAGATTGTTCCCTTTCTTCTATGTATTTATGCCATAGTTTCTCGGTTTGTTGTCTAAACATGTCTGGTAAATCATATACATATGTTGTACCAGCACTTTGTGCTTGAAACCGTTTTGCTTGAAGATAATCTTTGGTTAGATATGGCGTAGAAATCGGTAAACCATGCATAGGTCCGGGTCTCCAAGTACCATTTGCCTTTGCAGAAGGATAAGATTCAAAACGAATGATACCAGTCTTTGGATCAGTTATTTCTGTGTAAAGGTGTAAATCTATGCTATATCCGCTATCATTAGCAATACATAAACGTATAATAGATGTTGGTTTTCCTGGTGCTGGACGAATCGTCATTTTAATCTCAGCATGACGAACTCGTAATTTCCATAATCTTGGACCATATCTCAATACCATACTTGTTACACTTTCTTCTATTCTTGCTGGATCCATAATAACTGTAGGTACAAAGTTCAGAAAAATATGATTGCATTCCGTACGTTTTGCAAGAGGGTGTGAAAACGCAACTTCCAATTCATCCATAGCTTCTAATAAGACACGTTCACCTTCGTTATGCAGATAATCAAAACTAGCTTCTTTTGTGATAAGATCAGAATGTCTTATAATAGAACGAATAAAGAAACGATAATCTGTAACTTGTTGTCCTTTAGCAACTTTCGCTTGACCAAGATAAAGATGCATTTTTTGATTCGAAGTTGGTAAAGCTTCAAGATCATAAGTTCTCATTCTATTTAATTCTAATTGAAAAGCGCAACCAGGTTCAAGATGTCGATAAATTTTATCTTCAACAAAACCATCTCTTTGACGAAATGTAAAAAATTTAGGAAACTGTCTTTTCTTTAAAGCAGCGAACGTGATTCTCTTTATACCTCGCAAGATTAATTCTTCTTTGTTTGCAGCACACCAATCTCCAAAAATTTTTGCCATTATAATATCATCATGATTTTCCTTTTCTTGGACGGCAATACTTAAAATATGTACCGGTTCTGTTGGTCGTTCACCAACTTCCACTGGACCAGCAGTTTCTGCAGTACTTAGAGATACATTTATGGATGTACTATGTCTCGATTCGCTTCCAGCTGCATCTACTGCTTCTAAAACTTTGGCTGAAACTGTGGTAACCGAAGATAAGTCTTCTAAGAGATCGAAAACTTCATCAGAATATCGAACGAATTGATCCATATCTTGGAAAGCTGCCATAGCTCCAATTCTATGATTAACTGAAGATTGATTTTGTATATTGGGATGATTGTTAGGTAACAAGAATTGGAAATGTACAAGTGGTACTTCACCTGATAGTTCTAAATGTTGTAAACACGTTAACTCATAACTGATATAAGCTCTGCGGACATAAACTTCTAAAGCAGCATTACAAACTGCACGATTGGAATGGTAAAAGAAATCATGTAAAATATCGAAAATAGATGTTTCAGAAAGGATCAATTTTTGTAAATTTTCTGGGTGGAAATCATGGCCGTACATATCTACTGCTGACAAAAATATAGATTCCATTTGGTTATGTCTTAACTCATATGCAGGTTGGTGAGCAGCAATTAGAATTTGTCTTGCACGTAATGCCACACGACTATGTTCCGTACGATTCAAACTAGTTAGTTCTGTCAATGTACTCGACAATTCATCCGTGAGGCCAGGTTCATTTGCCCAAAGATGATCAATGAGCATAGTTACTAAAACATTCTTCTTTGTGACTTGATTGTGACTAAAGATCATAGCTGTTACTGTTGCTACATCATCTTTGTACTGTTCTATTAAAGCTGAAACACATTTATCGTAATGCCCTTGTTGAAACTGGCTTTCAACTGTATAATATTGTCGAAGAAGTTCATGAACAGCAGTTTTCATTCTTC